CATATCAACTGTGTCATCCAACCAGTTGCGGAGCATGCTTACAATTGGATTATAAGCTTCATGGGACAGGGATTTTTGCTAATATTGTTTGGTACATTGAAGATATTACCATATTGTCGCCTGAATTGCGAGATAAGGGGCATATGAATGTGATAAATAACATTGTGCATAATGTAGCTTGGAAGAACTCTACCAGTTCCTACAGTTTATTTTAGCAAAATGTATGTGTGGCAACAATCTGAGTAGGAAACTGAGGCAGTTTGATGATTAAAGTATTATCAGGCTAGAAACTAGATGATTGTGAGCCAGCTGGAGGATTTTGGACTAGTCTTCTCGATCCAACTCACCTCATAGGGATGTTGTTGTTGAGAAAATAGAAGTAAGAAGTAGTATTGGGTATGTTTATCACCTTGAGTTATTTATTAAAAAAACAATAAGGGCCAGATTTAAAAAAAATTAAAAATTAAAATGTTGCTGTTTTTCTTAGCATGTCTCAATTGAGTGCTTGGTTTGCACTACAATTGCTTCAGTTCACATAGCAAAGCTTTCAGTATCTGATGTGACAAGGGGTTCTACTCTTCCACAGGTTGTTGTAGAACCTGAATGTTGATTTGGGTTGAGAGAGCATGACTGACCCAAGATTAGCCAGCTGGCTTCCATGCCTCTCAAGGGCTAGATTCTGGGTTTCTTTTGTTTTGGTGCAGCATCTTTAACCACTATACGAGGGCTGTCAAACTCGCGGCCCACAAGCCAGATGCATCACGCACAAGACACGCTCATGCCCAGTTTAGCAAGCGGGGGGGGGAGTGTCGCAATATGTCACGTGACGCCACCATGACAACATGAGTTTGACACCCCTGCACTATATAGTATTAGCATTCATGAGTAGGAAATAAATCCAAATTTCTAATGTATGTGTCAGAAAAGGACCCGTTATTTTTATAACACCAAAAAGTTGATAATCCATAACAGAAGAAGTTGAACAAAATGCAGCACTCAAAGTTTAAATATCCCTTCTCAAATTTCTTTACAATCAGATTCTCCTTCAAACATGCAAGCTTTAAAAGCACTGGACAAATCGAAAGAAAGAACGCAGTAGGGCAGGTAGAGGCTAACTTTTTCCTTCTCTAGTTGCAAATGCTGAAACTTCACTTATGCCAATGGTCTTATTCTTCTAAAGTATCAGCTTCAGAGTAAGGGTTGTTTTCAGGATTATTGCAGGAAAGAATTATACCTGTCTCCTCGTCTGCTATGATCTCATTTATTATCAGTCCTTTAAACTGTCCTGATAATATCAGTATTATTTTAAACACAAGAAGCAATGGGTGGAAACTAATCAAGGAGAGAAGCAACTTAGAACGAAGGAGAAATTTCCTGATAGTTAGAACAATTAATCAGTGGAACAACTTGTCTCCAGAAGTTGTAAATGCTCCCACACTGGAAGTTTTTAAAGAAGAGATTAGATAACCACTTGTCCGAAGTGGTGTAGGATTTCCTGCCTAAACAGGGGGTTGGACTAGAAGACCTCCAAGGTCCCTTCCACTCTGTTATTCTACATGCAGGTTGAAACTCATTTCAAATTATATCTACTTCAGTCCTAAGAATAGCATAAGAATACAATATAATTGCTTCACTTTAGGGCTAAAATATAAGAAACAAAAGTTTCCCTAGAATGTATAGGCAAAAAGTGCTTCATTATTGGCTCCAACAACTGAACTTCCAAATAAATGGCCAGATAGATATCCCAACCATCTTAAAACACTATCTTCAATGGTAGAAATAAAGAGCCTTAGTATGTTACTATTCATTCTGGTTTGTATGAACATGTATTTGAATGCAGTTATTGAAAGTTTAATTAGTAAACAAAGCTTCTAAAGAGATCCAGTTTGGTGTAATGATTACAGACACCAGGCTAGAAACCAGGATATTGGGATATCTAGCCCTGCTTTTAGCAAAGCTGACTTAGTTACTTAAGGTCAGTCACTTTCTTTTAGCCCTAGGAAGGCAGTGATGGCAAACCATTTTTGAAAATATCCCAAGAAAGCCGCAGGGACTTCTTCAGGCAATTGCAAGGAGTGCAGACTGACTTGAAGGCACTAAAAAAAGAAAAATATTCATTCCCTGTGAGTTTTATAGCTCTGCCAAGCAAGCAGATCAATGGATGAGGAAATTTAACAGGGAGTCCAATGATATTAAGATATTATATTAATACAGGTAGTGCTCACTTACTACTCTCTCAGACAGTGACTGCTTGCAATTACAACAATTGCTGGAAAAATAATTTTGTGACCCATGTTCACATTTACCATCTTCACAGCATCTCTCTCTTTCTCAGTCGTGTATTCACATTATGGTCAGTTAATATACCCTGTCCTATATAAAATCAGAAGCACATTTCACTTAGCAACCACTTTGCTTAAAGACTGAGCTGTTAGACCTAATCGCAGACCCTAAGTGAGGACTACCTATAGATACAATTTGATTTTCATGGTGTAAAAGGAAAAATACTACCAGCTTTCTATCTGATTGATGGGAATGCAGTTTAGGAAGAAAGACAATGTAGCTGAAGAACATTAAATTGTGTAAAGCAGTGCCACACCGTTGTCCTGAACATGTTCAGGAATGGTCAAAATACAATATACAGTGAGAGACACAGTGCTTGAAAGCACTAGTGCTGGATTTTATTGCACATGATTGCAGATCTTTTAACCTGAAAGACATTTAAAGACTGAAGCAGAAGATGAGACAGGGACATTTTCTCAGAGAATTGGAACTGGGTGTCCTTGCTGTTGGTCTCCCTTGTGCCAGCAAAGCTCTGAATATCTCAATTAGAACTTGGCAAGAGGAAAAAGAAAAGGATGATAATCCTAGCATTTATAAGAAAATTCTATACCATTTTTCTACGTTTGATTCTATTTTTAAAAAATCCTATTCCACATCTAATATTATTGTACACGACTTTGTATCATCTATAGATGTACTGAAATAGCCAAAAATAATGTACAATTATACTGCAGACGATGCATGGAATGACAAATTTAGGAAGTGGGCCAAATAATTGCTTAGAAAACTCTTAATCAAATCGTTTTTCTTAAAAATAAATTGCACTGCATTACAATCTTACACTACTTGTTTGTATATTAAAATGTACAGGACTTACTTATTCTATTCTGAGCATGCTCTCTGGAACATCTTTGTGACCAAAACATAAAAGTAACAACGAAATATCTTGGAAACAATAACCAAGAAAGAAGAGACAAAAATTGGAATAAAGCGATGTTATTTTATTAATCAGGTTCGCTTGAAGCACAGGAAACAAAAATGTTTGTTTTTGTCACAAGCACTGATGATATTACCAAGTACAGGTAATGAAAGTTTGCAAGAAAACAACCAAGCTCAGAGAGCACCAAGGACGCCTTATTTCAACTCTGAGCTACAAATATTCTTCTTTATTGGTACAAAAACGTTTGTCTGGACGTGGCATCTGAAAAAACAATAATGACCAAGCTCTGGATATTTCTCCAGGAAAAATATTCATATCCTTGTGATATGAATGAGAAGCAGTTCTTCAACCAAACTAACTACATTAGTTTTGTAATGAAAAAAGCATCTGGAAAACTGTGATTTTCCATTATTTTTCAGAATGGAATGAAGGTTTCTCCAATAACTTGAGATAGTCTTCTTCAATTAAAAATATTCAGATTTAGGATGCTGCGTTAAGACACAATCTTGTACCAGGGAATCATACCAGATCAGGCCAGGGAATAGTGGCTACAATGTTTAGCTGGAGAGAATTAATTTTGGAGAGAACAGTACATGGCTCACAGTATTCTTGACTGGGTGGTAGAGAAGAGTTATTCTCCTACAGCTGCAAGTCTTCTAACATAGCAGAGGGGAAACTGGAACTTTAAAGACACAGAAATATTATTTTTCTACAGAGAGATTAATGATTTAGATTTGAAGAAAAAATACTCCTTTGAGGCAAATATCTCTTAGTGATAAAAATGCTGAGGGAAAAGGGAAGAAACCTGGAAAAGAAGAAAGGAAAATGTATATGATACAGAACAACTATCAGTGAAAGTCAGCTTGTATTTTGAAAGATTGATTCTTAGCTGGAAACGTCAATTGTCTCCAAGTTGCTGCCCTTCAAACACACTGGATTAGAACTGTTTTTAGTCATTATGATCTTCAGTCATCAAAAATCATATTGGGTGGGGTGTACAATCAATAAATTGTAGGAGACCAAGATGAAGCACCAACAACTTTAAGTTCCTCTGAATTGTTAAGAGAAAAGGCAGCATAAACATATTTGAAATTTAAAAAATAATAAGTTTGCAGGAATCAGAAAACCAGCAATTATTACCATAGAAATATGATAGTAATATTTCAGAATCCTGAGAGAGCACAGATTAAATGGTGTGGATTAAGTGGTTGGGACGTTAAGCAGGACGGTTGATAAAGAGGAAAAGGGAGGGAGAAAAAAAATCAAAGTTACCAGAAGAGATGGGGAAGAGGAACAAGGACCAATGTCGAAAAGTTGCTTCTCAGAATCTCTGGGCTGTTCCAGAGAACAAGTCCTTTATGAAAAGGGAGGCCCTTAATTAAAGTTAATATTGCTTTACTTTTGCTTAATAAAAGTTGAACGAACAATTAAGGCAGAGATTTTACTTCAGCAAAGTAGAGGACATACTACTCTTCCTCCTCCTACTGCTGTAACTACGACGTGCCAATGGTGGTGACAGTCTGAAAGTTATATGAACCGAGCTTCCCACACACTAAGAGGAGGAGGGGGGGAAATCACCTGCTCAGATGTTGCTTATCTTAGTTAAAGATAAAGTTGGAAAGACGGGGGAGGGGGGCAGCTTGGTCGGTGGAGCAGCTCAGTGGTTACTCCACATGGGGACGGACACGGAGTCCGGGATCGGGGCACAGAAAGCAGGAAGGAAAAGAAGCTTCTTTATAAGGGGGTACCCTAGAAAGGGTGGCGGGCAAGGCGTTACCTTGGGGGGCAGGTTGAAGAGGATGGGCAGCAGCACCAGCGGAGCGCACAGAAGCACCAAATAGCGGCGGATACACCACACTTTCTTCACTACGGCTCCCAGCGCTGCCATACCCTGACAAACACCCCACGGGACCGGCTTAAGTGAGACCGGACGCAGCGCCGGGACCGAGGTTTTATCTCAGGGGAGGAAGGAGGAGGAGGAGGCAGGGTTTTTACCGGGGGAGGGGGGAGTAGCGGGCCGGACCGGAGCAGGGGGCTCTTCCAACCGATTCCTACTCCGTACCAGCCTTGTCGGACCCAAGAAGACGAGCCCCCAAGCTCGATGGCTCCGCCTGGGCACCCGCCCCCTCACGCCGCCTCTACTCGCCCGAGACGAGGGAAATCGAGAGGGCGGTTCGGCGCCGGAACAGCCCCTGCCGAGGCGGCGCACGGCTCTTTTTAAAAACTGTGCTGGTTGGTTCGTAAGGAGGCGGCGAGAAAAGTGGCAGCGCGGTGCTGAAATGCAGCGGGGTGAGAGCGGGGCGAGGCCAGAAAGGAAGGCTGCATCAGCCCTGCTCCACCCAACCCACTCCCATTTCCTGGCAGGCCTCGTCTTCTGACATCGGTCTTTCCCAACGGATGGCTGTCATTTTCGAGCAGGGATAAATATAGATCGTCCTCGACTTAAGACAGTTCGTTTAGTGACCGTTCAAAGTTGCAGCGGCACTGAAAAAAGTGACCGATGACCGTTTTTCACACGACCTCTGTGACATCCCCGTGATCCTGTGATCAAAATTCAGAAGCTTGGCAACTGGTTCATACTTATGACCGTTGCTGTCTCGCGTGATCCCCTTTTACAATCTTACAGACAAGATGAATGGGGAAGGCAGATTCATTTAACAACCGTGTTACTAACTTATCAACTGCAGTGATTCACGTAACAACTGGCAAGCAAGGTTGTAAAATGGGGCAAAACTCACTTAACAAATGTCTCACTTAACAACAGAAATTTGGGGCTCAGTTGTGGTCGTAAGACAACGACTACCTGTACTCGAGTCCATCTTCGTGCTTCTTCTGTGTTTCTCTAGTTCTGCTGATTCCATTTTCGTGGAATTCACTTCTGGGTAGTTTATAAAATGTATAGGCTGCCCATCTTAAATGAAGATAACTCTTGCTGGCTTACAATTATAAAAAATAAAAAAAAACCGATATAAACTAAAAACAAATAAATTAGTAAGTGCAGAACTTTGTGGCCCAATTAAAAAAAGGAGACCGCGGGGCGGAGCAGGATGGGGGAGAGGTGGGATCTGTTGTTAATTGATCAACCACCTACACTGTGATACTTCACCCCCCCCCCATCGGAGCCCCAAGCTGACTGGCAGAGCCCAGGCCTTTAACCTCTATCAGAAGGTCAGGGCCAACCTTACACCGGAGGACAAGATGTTCCACAAGGCAGATATCCAAACACAACAAGGATGCTTTGATCTGCAGCTCTTTTCATGCCTTCCCCTCCCCCTCCACCAAAGTGATAATGTTCAGTCCTGAAACAGTCACTTTCTTTTGCTTGATCGTGGGGGGAATAACAAAAGCCCCAAAGTCTCAGAAAGTTTATGAATGAATTAGGAAAAAAATACCAGAAGGCCAGGAAGATGGGAAATGAAAGATATAACATAGATAGTCCTCAGCCTCTGATCACAATTGGGACCAGAATTTCCATCACTAAGTGATGTGGTCAATAAGTGAGTCATGCCCAATTTACAAACTTTTTTGTCTTGGTCAGTAAGCAAATCACACGGTGATTAAGGGAATCCTGTTTTCTCCCATCGGCTTTGATGGAAGCCCCCTGCGAAGGTCCCAAATGGGGATCATGCGGCCCTGGGATGCTGCAGGTTTTGTAAATAGATGTTGGTACCCAAAGACCTGCATTTTAATCACATGATCATAGGGATGCTGCCATGGTTGTAGTGAAGTCTTAAGTCACTTTTTTCAGTGCTGTCATAATGTTGAGTAGTCATTAAACAAATGGTTGTAAGTCAAGAACTACCTGTAGTAAATGTGCTCCCCACTGTTCTGCCCCAACTATGGACCCCAAAGAACGCAGCACACAGAAAGTCTGTTCAAACCTTAAATAAACCAGTTTTTTACAACAACGGCTGTTAATTAATGGCATTAACATCTGCCAAGAATTCAAAGAATAATACTGAAAGCTTACTGTGTTTGGCAGAATGCCCAGAAGCAATTTGCAGGAAGCTGATAAGATAAACAAGACAAGACAGGAAGGTATGTGAACAGAGTTGTTCCCTGCAAATTGCTTCAGTCGGCGTTCCTTCTTAAATAGGCTAAGGGAGTTGCCAATTAGCCCCAAGCCTTACTCTCAAGGAGACCTCCTCCTGAGGAGCCACTCCTGCCTTTTGGCAGCTCTGCACACCCGTGCATCGAGAAGAGGCTCCTCCTCTTCATCCTCTTCACTTAAGGGAGCTTCTGGAGGTTCTGAAGGCCCTGGCTGAATCCCCACCCCTGGCACCACATCTTCTCCAGCCTCCTCATTGTCCGACTCGAGTGCCAGCACCACACCAGCCTCCTTGCTGTCGGAATCAGCTATTAGCTGCACCGGCCACTGATGGGCCACAACACCCACTTTAATATATATATATATTTCTGTGCAGTATGAATCTATCCCTCTCCGTTCACTTTTTGGAGAAAGCACTATTGAGGGCCTATAAAAGAAAAAAAATGAGGCCAAATTGCCAACATATTCCAATCTAAAACCAGGACAGGATGAACTCATCCAACTAGCCCAATAGTTAGAAGAAAATGATTTTATTGGAATTCCAACAGCATCACAGAAGATTTGCTATTCCAAGCAGCTGGCCACTACAACAGAAGATATGTTTCCTGGGTCTGTTAGGTGACACTTTCGTAGAAAAGACTTGAAGCATGTCCCCCCTGCCAGATCTCATGGGACAGGCAAAGAATCAGAAAAAGGCAGTCTGGCAAATAATTGAGCCCTATCCCATGAATGGAAGGGATGTGGTGGCTTAGTGGGCAAGACGCTGAGCTTGTCGATCAAAAGGTCGGCAGTTCAGCTGTTCGAATCCCTAGTGCCACGTAATGGGGTGAGCTCCTGTTACTTGTCCCAGCTTCTGCCAACCTAGCAGTTCGAAAGCACGTAAAAAATGCAAGTAGAAAAATAGGGACCACCTTTGGTGGGAAGGGAACAGTGTTCCATGCTCCTTTGGCATTTAGTCATGCCAGCCACATGACCATGGAGACGTCTTCAGACAGCGCTGGCTCTTCGGCTTTGAAATGGAGATGAGCACCACCCCCTAGAGTTGGAAACGACTAGCACATATGTGCGAGGGGAACCTTTACCTTTACCTTTAACCCATGAATATCTTTAAAAGCAGTAAATAAGTCTTCGAATTGCACCTGGAATTTTGTAGAAAGCTAAAGCAATTTGTGGAGCAGCAGTGTTATATAGATGTGCCATTGTGAACCCATATTTTTTGCACTTCCATATTATGGACCAGTTGCAACCTCTACATGTTCTTTTAGGGCAGGGCTCTCAAACTCGTGGCCAGCTCCTGGTTTTAGCGAAAGGGGGAAAAGTCACGATACATCATGTGACGCCATCATGATGCCGTGAGTTTGACACCAGTAGTGATTTTTAATTTAGTTTGCTACTGGTTTGCTCATGTGCGTGTGCGAGTACGCACGCACAACACTTCTGCGCATGCACAGAAGCATCCAGACGGGTGGGCGGAGCCTCCAGCTCTGCTGCTACTGGTTCGCCCGAACCAGGGTGAAACGGTAGCAACCCACCACTGTTTGACACCCCTGTTTTAGGGCAATCCCATGGACAGTGCATTTCAATAGTCCAAACAGGAGATGAATGGGTGACAGTGAGCAGGGCTTCCTAACCTAGGAACAAGAGTAATTCTTAGACACAAAATAGATTTGCCTCTCAGCATGGTACTGTTGCTCTTCCAGCAAGATCCAGGAGTCTCAAACCCCCAAACGGCACAACAGTTCTGAATTCAAAAGTAAAGATGAAATGCACCCAGAGTCAGGAGACCCCAAGCCAATGCCAGTCAATCTAGAAATTATGGGACCTGATGTCCAACATAACTGGAAGAGTGATGGAAACCCTTGCAGAATCATCAAATTCCAAATTGAAGATATAGATCTGTATCTTTTGTCTGTGCTTGATAAAAATAAATGCCTAATCATTTATGTATTGATTTTTGTCAGATTTCTAAACCAAAGCAACTCTGGACAGCTTCACAAGGTTAAAAGAAACAGTAATATTATCTAAAAGGATGAAAAAAAACATGTTTCAGAGTTTCTGTCATTGTTTTTTCCCTACCTTTTAAAATATGCTATATATCCGTGATGGCGAACCTATGACACATGTGCCAGAGGTGGCACGCAGTGCCATCTCTGTGGGCACGTGAGCCGTCGCCCCAGTTCAGCCCCGCTGCGCACGAGTGCGTGCCTCCACCTGCTAACTGGTCTTCAGGTCTCTGCAATGCATGCACAGGAGAGGGGCATATGCGGGGGCCATGCACGCATGCACAGGGGGGCAGGGCATATGATGGGGGCCGCGTGTGCATGCGGGGGGAGGGTGCATGCAGGGGGCACGTGGATGCACAGGGGTGGGGTGCATGTAGGGGGCGCACACGCATTGCACTTTGGGGGTTTGGGCACGGGCGTATGTATTCATGGGCACCTGCGCGCGCACTTTGGCCACTCAGTCCGGAAAAGGTTAGCCATCACTGCTATATATCATCTAGAGTCATTGCAATGATTGAGGCAGCTCATAAATTGAACAAATAAGTAAATGCTTACAGCACATCCAGAACCCATGTTAGATGATAGATAGATAGATAGATAGATAGATAGATAGATAGATAGATAGATAGAAGAAAATGTCTGACTGAGACTTGAATGGGAAAGGTTGAATTTGTAATCATATAACAAAATTTAAATTGCAGCATTATAATTTAAATCAAACATCACTATCATCAATGCAAATGGAAAGGAAGATACAACATCCTACATGTGATGGAGTAGTTAGAATACACATTCTCTTCTGTCCCAAAAATAGCAATAGCAATAGCACTTAGACATATATGCTGCTTCATAGTGCTTTATAGCCCTCTCTAAGAGGTTTACAGAATTAGCATATTGCCCCCAACAATCTGGGTACTCATTTGACTGA